TATCCATGTATGCAAGTATCCTTGTATCCATGTATTCATGTATTCTTGTACACATGTATCCATAGTGTATGTCATGGTTCTGTGCCACATGGTTGTCGGAGGTCTTATCAGTGCCCCCCTAATTCCTGCAGGATTCCGGTCATTCCTGTGGATTCCAGAGGAATGAAATTTGGCAGGGAGGCCTGCTATTTTCTTCATTCCGGTGGCTTACCATTCTGGTGGAATTTCGGCATTCTGGAATTGTGACCAGAATGGTCCCCGGATTGGCAAAAACGGAATCCAACCGGAATCTGGTTTGTTTGGCACATGCCCATTGCCAAACAAACAACTGTTTGGCACGCCTGTCCAAACACAACCCTCTCTCCTCCCACCACCACCAACCTCTCCTCCCACCACCACCAACCTCTCCTCCCACCACCACCAACCTCTCCTCCCACCACCACCAACCTCTCCTCCCACCACCACCCACGTCCCTGCTCCTTATAAATGCGCGCCTGCTACCCACCCACGCCACGTCACCATGGTCACCTGTGGCCACCACTGCCCACAAAGCTTGTCAACCGCCAACAACGACCACATCAACAACAACGCGGCAACGCCATGTCAGCAAGCAAATGATCCCTGGCGAGGTCAAGGCGTTGAAAATGGACCACAAGGGACAAGGGACGACCACATCAACACATGACCACCATGACCACGCCCATGGACCACGACACGCCCCACGATGTCAATGGATGGCCACGTCAACAGACGCCAATGCCAATGACGACACGCACCATCACGTCAATGGACCACCACCACGTCAACGGACGACGACCACGCCAACAGACAATGACCACGCCAACAGACGCCCACGTCAACAGACGCCCATGTTAACAGACACCCACGTCAATGCACAACGACGTGCCCCCGACGATGGGAATCCAAGGTGCCACGTCGCTGTCAGCGACATGGCAACCAAATGATGAACGATGACGACAATGTCGTTGTTCATCATTCACACAAAGGTGAGTGCCCCAAGGCTCCTTCATCCCCTCCCATCTTGCTAATAACTACCACCACATGACACAACGACGACGAGTGCATCCCACTTCACC